TAATGGAAATTAAAGTGGAAACTACTATTTAGGGTTATTTCGGGGTATGTAGGGAATATATTGGGGTAATGGAAAATACAATGGAAACTACTATAATCTATTGGGGTTTTATTAGGGTTATATTGGGGTACTGGAAAATAAAATGGAAACTACTGTTTAGGGTTGAGAGTTGGAAGATTTGGGAGGGCAGGGTTTAGGGTTCGAGTTCAGGGTTCAGGCAAGGAGTATGGGCCACTAGGCATTTTCATCTATGGTGTATGCTCTGGTGATAAGAGGATCCGGGGTTTGAGGCCCTGTACTTCTAAGCTTCCAAGCTATTCTTCCAAGATTGAAAGCCCTAACCCCTAAACCTTAACGAATAAGCCACCTCCGGAGGGTGCGGCGGTGCCGATGGAGATGGTGGAGGTGGGGGTTTTGGAGTTCAGGGTGTACAGGTTAGGGTTCAGAGTGCAGGCTTTCCGTAGGGTGTAGTGAAGGAATCGAGGTTTGGGAAGTAAGAGGGAATGCAGCATTTATGATGCAGGGATTGGGCTTTCCGGGTGGTGCCCTTAGGAGTGTAACCGTGAAGGGATGCCTGGGGAATATCAGGGGCCATATCGAGCTACATTGGGGTTACATGGACGGAAATGTGGAGATTTCGGGGTGAAAGTTGGGGAAACAGGGGAGGTGTGCTTTGGATCTATCGCTTCAGGTTGAGGGATGAGGGCTTAGCGGGGCGTCTTTTCTCCGGATAGCATGCATCGATGCGGGCTTTCAAGGGTAAGGTTCAAGTTTATTGGCCTGAAGTCTGCGGCAACTCTTTGACACCAACTTGCCAAACCACAAGCCCATTCAGAAGACTGATCGCCTTGGACTCCGTGTATCAGATGATCAAAGGTTTGAACTGCAGGTGGGACCCAAAAAAGAGTTCCGCACATGGTGCCTACATGCATTGGGATTGTTGCTGTTGTCTTGCTGCTTTTAAGTGGGTGTGGAGGTACTGTGATAATGCGCATAAAAGTAATCTAGAAAGGGATACTATAGCCCCCGTTATGGCCCCACATGGGGATCTTATAGAGATGGGTACCCATGCCTGCCCATAAACACCAAGATTTGTAGGGCGGGATCTAGTTCAGACTCCTGAAATCCAGCTTCAGTAGTATCTTCTCCTTGATATTCCCTAATGCTAGCTCACGACCTTTGTATCTCTAAAGCTGCTTTGCCCCCACGTTGCCCTTAGCCCATCCCAGCTCGCGGCTCAGGATCACGTGAATGGTGGCTCCTCTGGGGCCAGGAGGCAATCCGCCTTATCTCATGAGCAAGGATGCAGATGTTGCCATATGAGCTATAGTCTAAACTCCTTAATAGGGGATTATATAGGGGAGTACTATAGGGGTTATTAAGGGGGATACTAGGAGTTTAGACTATAGCTCATATAAATCGGGCCGATTCGGGTGCTCCGTCGCTTCAGACACAGAAAGGGCTTGAATAAGGATTGGGAAGCTACATGCCACGTTCCAATTACACTCGCAGCTAAGACATCACGCAAAAGGACCGAAACAGTTGCCAGTAAAGTTGCTAGTAAAGTTGCTGTAAAGGTCTGCAAAGATTCTGTCATGCTGCTGCTGTTGTTGTTGTTGGTGGTGGCGGTGGTGGTGGCGGTGGCGGCGAAAAAAACATTCCTGATTGGATGGATATTTTCGGCAAGACAAATGGCTTGGCCGTATTCCTGACACTTACAACTTATGGCTGTCGCTGGTGTGCGTAGAGTGGGAGTCTTGTTAGGTAATGCAGCGAGGGCACGAATGTAAGATCCTTCCCGTCCAAAACTTCACCGACAGGAACCTTTTAACCATTTCTCAAAGGCATGATGTGAACCTGCAGAACATGACACACGAAGACCAAGATGCTCTCGATACTCCATTAACAGCAACCCAGTTTAGGGTTCACTACGTTGAGTTCTTTGGAAGCTGGACACTGCGTCACAGGTTCCAATTCTGCCCGGGGCGAGGCCAGGTAAGCACACCGCATTCGAGTAGACCATGCTTCCATGTCCGGGCGTGTTGGGTTTCGGGTTTGGGGTTTAGGGTTTAGGGTACAGCAAGCGAAGTATCTGCTTTCAAGAGGCACGTGTGTTCTGATTTTGGCAGCGTCTTCCCTTCAGTTTTGCCAGGTCGTCGGCATCATCGCCATTGAGGACAAAGCGCAGGCAGCGTTGAGCATTCTCCTTTGCTGACTCCCTGCAACGTCCTGGCTTGGGGTATTGGGTTTGTAAGGCCCTATAACCGAAAGAAGCCCAGGGTTTTGGGTGTTGGGTTCCACGCAGGTGGGCGTTCAAGATGCCATTTTCGAGATTCGCCAGGCGCGGCGCGGGGCTCCAGTGCAACCTACACTGTCAAACTTGGTGAGAGTTTCTCTAAACAGTATTTAAGAGCTTCTATACAGCACCTAATTAAACCCCGAACCCATCAGAATCCCTAGAACCCATTCATAAATAGTAATTTCCATTTTCCTTTCCATTATTCCCATATAACCCCAATATAATGTCTTCCCGACACAAGCACCACACTCCCCCCCACCCCCCCCAATCATGAAGGCTTTCTTCCAAAGCAAGGGCGGCTCTCATCCTTGACTCCTTTTGCTTGTTCACAAACTCTGCCATACCTGAGTGGCCCAAAGTGGGTTACACTGAGGGAAGGTCGTATACCTGTAGAATAGCTTACACATGAAATACGATATATGCCCTCTAGTCTGATCTATTTATCGCGTTAGCGCGTGGTCGGCACCTTTCTGGTATAAGAGCTGAAATGAAATCAGACGCCGTTCCTGCTCACTTTGTCGAACACAGCACCGCTGCCACTACCAGACGCCGCGACGGCGACCACTATCACCACTAGCACAAGGACCCTAAACCCTGTTGAGCCGTAAGCCGTAAGCTTGGCCCTTGCCATCTTTGACCTCGAGACCGAAAGCAAGCCAAATGCCCTGCAACAAGCAAGCAGACAACTTGAGCCATGGGTTTAGGGTTGAGAGTTTAGGGTGGTGATGTAATGTTATTTTCAACAAAGTATCGTAGAGTACAGTACACTGGCATGTAAATTCAAGATAAACTTCAAACCCTTACAGTACATAAAGCAACCCTAAACCCTAAACCCTCACAGTACAGTTTCTCTTTGCAAGGCCAGGATCAAAGCTCTGGGCGCTGACAGGTGATGCTTGGCAGCAGTGTCAGTTTGAAGGCAAAATCAATGCCCAAAACGCGTGTGATATTCGATTGTACAAAATTATACTGTACAGCAGTAGTCAAGTTGTAATTTTGAGTTATACCCTAAACGCTAAACCTATATAACCCATTATAGTGTTTTTTTTTGTGTCTGTGGTGATTTGCCCTTCAGGCATCCCTCATACATGTCACAGTACTCCGGCATCAAGGAATGAAGCAGTGAAAATGGGAACCCTAAACCCTGAACACTAAACCCTAAACCCTACACCCTAAACCCTAAACCCTTGGGGGTTCGACACAAGTAGGCCTAAGGGCCCTATAATCCCTATTCTCCCTGTTGTTTCCATTTTCTTTTCCATTATCCCAATGTAACCCCAACAAATTCCCTATAATCCCTATATAAACCCTAGACAATCCCTATAATCCCTGCGGTTTCCATTTTCTTTTCCATTATCCACCAAAAAAACTCAATACAACCCTAATGTATCCCTAGCTAATTTAACCCTAATAGAACCCTAATATAACTCCAGAGGCCAGCGCTAACAGGAGCACCCTAAACCCTAAACCCTAAACCCTAAATCCCTTAACCCCAAATCCCTAAAACCTAAAACCCACGACTCTCGCTCCTGGAGTCCGTCCTCTTAGGTGCTCTTTTCGACACGAGACCGAAGGGTTTAGGGTTTAGGGTTTAGCCTCGCCTAAGCTACTGGTCTAGAAGTTACTCCTAAAGGGATAGATACCTACAGGATGCTTACAGCTGCAGGTTGCACACTGGTCTAGAATATTAGGGTTACGTAGGGTTTAGGGTTTAGGGGATAATGGAAAATGCAATGGAAACCACCATATTAGATAGGGATTATATTGGAGTTATATAGGGCGCAGGGCTTCGCATGTGTGGCACATTGTCACGGAGCTTCTGCTCATCATAAGTGGAACAGCGTGACACAATGCAAGTGCCAGGTGCGCACTGCCACTGGCACAAAGTACGACCGGTGTAGTAGTTACCATGCACGATACTACTTTGCAGATGACGGTGGTCATCATCATCTTGGCTATCATTACAAGTGAACAAGCATGGCAGTTCTTGTGTCGGCTCGCTGCCAGCTGCATACCAAGCCTAGACAGGTTTATTTGCTTCTTCCCTTCGCGCTGCCGTGCTTGGAGCCATGGGTCCGGTCGTTCTGGGTGCTCTTGTGCAGGTTGCCATGATGTGGGGTGAAGTATCGGCGCAGTTCGATCAGGTGGGCTTCGTAGGCGTCCTGCAAGACCCCGTGCGGCTCAATGGAGCCACGGGAATCGCCATCGCAGGCAACTATGCCTATGTGACAGCGACTTGGGACGACGGGGTGTCTGTGCTCAACATCACAGATCCCAGCAGCCCGACTTTGGCAGGGTCCATTTGGGACAGCGACATCTTGAACGATCCCAGGGGCATTGCTGTCAGAGGGGATTACGCTTATGTGGGGGATGCCTTTGGTCTTGTGTCAATAAACATCGCCGATCCAACCAATCTGACCATCGTGCACAAACTGGCTGACACGACTCATTTCAATGGACTTCAAGCGGTTGTGCTCGATGGGAACCACGCGTACGTGACTTCGGAATACACTTCTGGGCTGGTGGTCATCGACATCACTGACCCGAGCAATCTCACCATCGCAGGTTCCTTCGTTGATACCACCTTGCTGTCCGGAGTCCGGGGCATTGACATTGTCGGCGACCTTGCCCATCTGTGCACTCAACAGGGCAGATTTGTCATTGTCAACATCTCTGACCCAAGAAGCCCAAGCCTCGTGGGCTCGATGATGCCGTCGGCATCGTTGGCAGACGCTTTTCGCACGGCCGTTGCTGGGAACTACGCCTACGTGACAACATACCACAACAGCCTGGCGGTGGTCAACATCACCGACCTGACGGACATCGTTGTCATTACGGTCGTCGGAAACTCCACCACGATGCCAGTCCCCGTGGGCCTCGAGATTGTGGGGAACTACATGTATGTCGCTACCCACCATGGCATTGTGCTGCTTGACATCAGCGACCCAAGCAACCCCGCCATCGTCAACGAAGGTCGAATCGCTCACGATGTGTCAGATACTGACACATTCGCATATGGGCAAGACGTAGCTGTGGTAGGGAACCTTCTCTACATGGCCTGTCAAAGTGGGTTTTATCATCGAGGCCTGGCCGTGGTCGACATCAGCACTCCGAGCAGCCTCAGCGAGGTTGCCTTCTTCGGCGAGAATCCGAACAGCTTCCTCGAGGATGCGGCTGGTGTTAAAGTCGCAGGCAACTACGCCTATGTGGTCGGAGACGAAGGTTCCTTTACCGTGATCGACGTCAGCAACCCGAGCCAACCAAGATTGATAAGCTCGATCGTTGACCCAAGGTTGGACGGTGCCGAGGGGTTTGCAGTTGCTGGGGACTATGCCTATGTGGCCTCAAACAGCAACGACGGCTTCGTCGCGGTCAACATCGCCGACAAAGCCAACGTGAGCATCGCGGGATTTCTCCAAGATGCTCAGAATGAGGACTACTTTTATCAGGGTTTACATGGGTGTTAGGGGTTTAGGACTTTAGGGTTTAGTGGGTTTATTTAGGGCCCGGCGGCACGGGCTGGCCTGGGCTGGCTGAAGCCAGGACTACTTTGACGGTGCCACGGACGTGGCGATCTCCGGGAACTTCGCTTTTGTGACCGCCTACAGCGAGGACTTCCCCGGAAATTTAGGGTTTAGGGTTTAGGGTTTAGCTGTCAAAGCATTGGCCCCAGGATTCGAGCCCATTACTTCTGTACATACCTCTCGTATTCAGTACAGCTTTCTGTTTGAAGACTCTAGTATCATAGTTCTTATCACTATGAGCATCACCATTCCTGTACATTTATTATAGAACGCTTAAATAATCTGCCTTTTCCTTTTGCAGACCCTTTACCGAAAGCTCTGATCCCCGTGAGGATGCCGTGACAGTGGTCGACATCAGCGACCCCTACAATCTCACAATGGCCAGCCATTTCAAGGATAGTACGCTCGATGGTGCGGAGACTAGGCTGCCCTTGGACATGGTTTGCGTTGTAGTACTTAGTCCGGTAGTGTTCTGAAGAAGAAATGGACACTATGAGCCGTAAAGGACTTCCAAGAACAACCACGTAATTCTTAAAGCCCCAACAACCCTCAACCCCAAGTCCTAAACCCTAGACTCTTTGGGTGCCTAGGAGAACATCGTGATCGTCGGGAACTTGGCCTACGTGACGGCCTATTCTGAGGACCGCTTACAAGCTGGGTGTTTTCTTTTTCGGGGGGTCTTTTGAATTTCGGGTACGCGGAGTCGGAAATTGGGCTAACTAGGGCTCCTTACAAACAAGGGTCCCATTATTGAGGGTCCATATTGGGAATTATTAGGGTGCTTCGTTCTCTTTGACTCCCAAAGTTGTAACAGAGAGAGTGTGTGGTTTGGTGTGTTTGGCATGTTGCTGTGCCTTCTGACCCTTAGTAAAGGGGCCCCGTGCGCCTGAACTTAAGGCTAAGAAACCTCCGAATTTCAATCATCGGCATACGTAGCATCTGCCGGGACATGAGCAAAGAGGGCAGGGCGCTTTAAAAGTGTAGTGGGCGCATCGGGTTATGTAACTATAGTCACAAAAGGAAAATGCTTTAAAGTATACGGTATATAGTGTAGTATACTACACATATTTCATTCGGTCATAGCGAGGACTCCTTGACCATACTCAACATCACCGACCCGCACAGCATCAGTCTTGCCGGCACTATCAGGGACAACAGACTTGATGAAGCAAGAGGCCTTGCCGTTGTCGGGGACTACGCGTATGTGGCCTGCCACGACGAGGACGGCTTTGCCGCGATTAACATCACTGACCCGAGCAACCTAGCCATTGTAGGCGTGCGTGCTTGAAAAGCCTTTGAATGCAAGTTTCTTATGCTTTCCCTTAGCCTGATAGCTAAAGAAACTAAGTTCTGAAACTCAGAGGCTTCGTCCAGGATGGAACCCTCCTGGAAGAGTCCTGGGCGGTTGCAGTTGATGGGAACTACGCATATGTGACATCAGAGGATCATCACTCCGTGACGAAGATTGACATCAGCGACCCAAGCAACCTTACCATCGTGGGCAATTTCCAGCACCCTTTATTGCGTGATTCCCGCGGTATCACGATTGCTGGAGCATATGCTTATGTGACGGGATACGACTCCGACTCCTTCTTGGTGCTCCAAATAGGCACCACCACCACCACCACCACCACCACCACCACCACCACAACCACCACCACAGCAACAACAGCAGCAGCAACAACAACAACAACAACAACAACTTCGGTCACCTCTACCAATGCACAAGCGAACGCAACCACGGAGACGGTGTCCACGACAACGCCTGTGACTGGTACGACTACGCCTCGAGATCTTAACGAAGTGATCGAAGAGCTAAGCTATGCTTTGGACGGGAAGGGTTCTCTTAGTGCCTTACTTCTTATCCTAGTTGGCTTGCAGTGCGGAGGCCTGAAATGACCTTGGCCGTGAGAGGAAAGCAGAACTGTGCCTGGCCCAACTCAGCGTCAGGGTCTTGGGAGGGGTGCTTTCTCTTCTAACTACATGCTATAGCCTAAACTCTTTAAAGGGGTGTTATATGGGGGATTGTATAGGGGACTACTCTAGGGGGTACTAAGAAGGATACTGGGAGTTTAGACAATGGTTCATTTACTAAAATACCCGACGACTAGAGACGAGGCCGACACGGTCGCAAAATGTGTTAATGTCGCTCCAGCTAGCAGTGCAGATGTGTGTTTGCAGCGCCAACTTCAGAAGTGATGTTGGCAGACTGCCGTGCAGTGCTAAACTCTGAAAAGATGTTCTCCTTTCATGCGTTTGCAGCGCCAGCTTCAAAAGTGGTGTTGGCAAATAGCAATGCAGTGCTAACGTCTATCACGATGTTGGCCACAAGATGACACATCTGTACCTGCACAACCTGCACCTTTCATCGAAAAGATCGTGTGACAAAGCAATATAATGCAATATGGCTGGGAGGACTGGCTAGGACCGCTTCTTGACAAAGCTACTCTTGAGCCTGCCAACTTCAGCAGACCCATTTGCCTCTCACCTTGATAGTGACCTCGGACAAGCGGAGACGGCAAAGAACATCGTATTCTGCAGGCGGGTTCTCAGTCATCAGCACTTGAGCAACTCTACATTGCTGACTTGGTTTATGGGTTTTGGGTTTTGCTTCAAGTTAGCGCCAAGGCTACTGCTCTTTTGGAAGAGACAGCGCTGCTTCTTCGTCTTCTGCCGCTACTGCTTCTACAACTTAGTAGCATTCCCTCCATGCTATAGTATACTCTCCAAGCGATAGCATACCACACTTACTGTAGTACGGTAGAATATGTTACAGTAGTGTCAGCTCCATTCTGCGGATGGCACTTGTGAGGCAATGACATGGAGATCCTGTGCTTGATGAGTCGGAAGCTCGACCAATGGATGACGCCAGCACAGTAACCCTAAACCCTAAACCCTAAACCCTAAACCCTTAAACCCTTCCACTGACGGACCCCATCAACCACTCTAGTCTGGGGAGGCTGGTGGTCCATTGGGGTAACATTAAGGTTATATTGGGGTTAGAGAGGGATAATGGAGAAGAAAATGGAAACTACTATAGTATATTGGGGGTTATTACCCTAAACCCTAAACCCTAAATCCTAAATCCCTAATTAGGGATAATGGAAAAGCAAAATTATGGAACTGGGACCCTAGATAAATGCTGACAAGGTTTCGTGCGAGGCGTGTGGTCAACTCTTGGGTTGTTGATGCTTGCTTGACCCTGAAGTATCCTACAAGGTTCCTGAAAATAATTGTTCATTTCTGTTACCAACAATCCTGATATTTAGCTGAAATTTTGATTTCTACTGGGGTTCCAAATCCCTTAGAGTACACCTTCGCCGAAATTGTTTTTGGCCCTGCTAACGACAACGAGCATTCCACTTGTTCATTGTCTTGTTCCGTGGAGTCTTGCCCGTTTTCCTTCTGTCAGGGTCCCGTCGGAAGAACGTACTGTTTTATGCAATACTAGAACCCCACCTAGCGCGCTAGTGTCTTTTTGAGGGACCCCAGAACCCTAAATCCTAAACCTAAACCCTAAACCCTAACTACTTCCTTTGCCTCAGGCTCAGAGACAGAAACGAAGAAGCAAGCAGAGGAACAGAGCGCGGTCATGAAAATCCGGCAGCACCGTTGCAGGCTTTGTTTAGGGGTTTAGGGTTTCGGGTTTTAGGGGTTAGGGGTTTAGGGTTTAGGGGTTTAGGGGGTTAGGGGTTTAGGGTTTAGGGATTTAGGGTTTAATAGGGTTTCGGGTCTAGGATTTTGGGGTTCTTTGTTGCAGGATAATTGGAGATGTTGACGGAGTAGAATACCCGAAGTCCTCCAATCGGTAGTTTCCATCAATAGCCATAGGTACCCACAACATAGATCCCCAATATATCATATTGCTTATTACGGGGAGGTGCTTCTCGTGAAGAACATGACGGTCACTTAATCTGCATCATGGGTTGCTTGCCTCAACGCTAGTCCCTAAACCTCCAATCCCTAAACCCTAATCCCTAAATCCTAAGCCCTGAACCCTAAATCCTAAACCCTAATCCCTAGACCCTAAACCGTAATCCCTAAATCCTAAACCTTAAATCCCAAATCCTAAACCCTAAACCCTTGCTTGTGCATAGACACCGCGTAGCACGTTCATAGGAGCTGCCAGCTGGCTTGCGTAGTGATGGATGAAGCCACATCGCAGTTGTTCAAAATACCTGTCCGCAAAATGGCCATAGGGTAGGGTTTAGGGTTTAGGGTTTAGGGGTTTAGGGTTCCTGTTTGGTTAGGATCTTCTTCGAAGGAAGTGTATTCCCAATGGTCCCTGCTTTACAAGGGCCTTTAGAACAACCTCCACACAACATGTTGTGTGGCACACAGCTCAAGGATTCGATGTTTGCCAATTTGCTGGCTGAACATGAGCTATAGTCTAAACTCCTTACAGGGGGTTGTACGGCGGATTGTATAGGGGAGTATTACAAGTGTTATTAACGGGGATGCTAGGAGTTCAGACTATAGCTCACATTCTCAGGACGTCGATGCACCGCATTACAGGGTGAACCAGAAGCCCTTAGTACTGCCCCCCTCAGTAACAGTTGGCTAATATGTATAATATGGTTATATATAGCCTGTTAAAAACCCTAAACCCAAAACCCTAAACCCTAAACCCCTAGACCCTAAACCCTATAGACTGTTGCTGGGGGGGGGGCAGTACCCAACAGAAGCCCTTAGTGGCTAGTTGTTCGAAATCAAGTCCTCCACCATCCTGCGGGGCGACTTCTACAATCCATTCATTACTCCCCTATGAGCTATAGTCTAAACTCCTTATTTAGGGTTTAGGGTTTAGGGTTTAGGATTTAGGGTTTAGGGTTTAAGGTTTAAGGATTTTGTTTCATGAGCTATAGTCTGAACTCCTTAAAGGGGGGTTATATAGGGGATTATATAGGGGACTACTATAGGGGTTATTAAGGGGGATACTAGGAGTTTAAACTATGGCTTATATACCCCTGTGGTTTCCAACTTTGACCGTCATGTAAAAAATCACGTCAGCCTTTCGCAGGTATCGAATCCTGACCTCTACGCCCAAGACCCCAAGCCAGTCCCTAAACCCTAAGTCCTAATTCCTAAACATCGCAAATCCTCAACCTGCTTTCTGCTTAAAGTTGCGCTTCCTCATGCGTGATCATTACCCCGCAAATTGCGCTTCGTCATGACCCTCACAGCTTACAGCACGAGAATTGACAAGCTTCAGCACAGGATCGAGGAGTTAGGGTTTAAGATTCATGCAAGAACCTATCACCTGTTGTTCTTATCTTGGTGTTGGTTGTCTCAGTTCGCATCGCGGACATTGCCCTTCTATCTGCAATATTCTGCAACTTGTGTTTGAATTACCATCTCATTACATAATGGTACTACATTGGGATTTTTTGGGTGGCGAGAGTTTCAAGCCGCGATGGACCTGGATGTGTACAAGTCATCAGGCTTGGCGTGACAGAGGGGAGCAGAATTTCCAACATCCTTTAATCGAGGAAAATGCCCGAAAGTACAGTAATGTTCCCAAAAGCAATTTAAGGTAATGCCCCAAAGTACAGTAATGTTCCCAAAAGCAATTTAAGGCTATTTCCCTTGATTCAAGGGTTCTGGAAGCTGTGGGGTCTACAGGTTCAGGCTCTTCTTCGGGCTTTCCATTTGTTGAACCCCTAAACCCTGAACCCTAAACCCTCTGGGAGCTCTGCACAGGGCTGCGTGGGCTTGGTGAGGGGAATTCGGATGGGAGGGTTGGTCAAAAAGGTCCTTTGGGAAAAGTATGTAGGGTTCCTTTAGGACTATAAGCCCTAAACCTCAAACCATGAACTCTAAGTTTGGGAACATCAGTTCGATCAACTGCCGTTTCTCCTGGATTTTGGATTTAGGTGAGGGGTGTGGTCAAGGGAACTCACTGGGAAAACCGCCTGATGGTCCTTTCAGACGGGCTTAGGGTTTAGGGATTAGGGTTTGGGGTTTAGGGATTGTTTCGGGATGTTTGTGTCAGTCTTCTATAACAAGCACCTTTCCAACCGGCAGCTACCCAACACCTCCTCTTGCAGAGTTTTTTGAATTTACCCTGATGCACGAGGGCGGATGTCATGTGGGGAAAAGCATGTGTGCCTGTGGCTCACATCTAGCCTTTTTTGAGGCTGAGCCCTTGCACCCTAAACCCTAAACCCTAAACCCTTAAACCCTAACCTTCAAACTCTATACACCCGAGCCTGAGAGCCCCAAACCCTGAAACCCTTAACCCTAAACAGTGCAACCCTAAACCCTAAACCCCAGACCCCACACCTTAAACCCTGCAACCCTAAACCCTGAACCCTGCAGTCATCTCTTGCCGCCCCCCACTTTTGGGCCAGGGTCTGAAGCCCCAAAGTAGGTTGCATCTGTGAGCCATGAGACCTACACTTCCTGAAAAGCTTGGGTACTGCCCCAGCTTTAATAGGCTACTTTGCAGTGGTAGGTAATTAGGGGGAAGCATATTACAATTATGGGCTGTTGGCTTTGAAGGCAGCCCGAAATCCTCTTTTCTTCACTTCTCAGAAGGCTAAACATTCTCGACATTGCGCCAGCATGTCCGAAGTTTCTTGAAGCCCCCTGAAAGTCTTTCGTCCCTAAACCCTAAACCCTAAACCCCTAAACCCTAAACCCCTAAACCCTAAACCCTAGTGGCAAGAACCCTTGCATGTCTGGAGCGTGTTTGCTGAAGCACCACCTTGACGTGTGGCCAAAAATCCGTTTAGGGTTTAGGGGTTTTGGGTTTAGGGTTTAGGGGTTTAGGGTTTAGGGGTTTAGGGTTTAGGGCCTTAAGCTAGTCTTAGATTCCGCCTATAACGGTGGTATAGGGTACCTCAAATAGGATTCAGCATGAAATTTGCATTTGTTCAGGCCCCTAAACCCCAAACCCT